GTATTTTCTTTAATCTTTGTAACATCATTTTCAATACCCTAGTAATATTATTCAATCCAAAACTTATATATTTTAAATTTTACTATCTTTAATCTTTGTAACACCCTTTTCGATACCATATATAAATATTACGTAATACAAAATTCATATATATTAAATTTTCATATTTATTTATTTCATTGAGTGAATGTGGTTTTTTTTTATTATAAATATGAGCATTGGATGTTAAGGGCAAAAACATAATACGTACCATTTTCAGACGTTAGCTATTATATATAATAAACAATCTTAATGAATTCAGCGCTTCACATTAAAACGTTATCAAATAAGTTTTTAAATTAGTACATTCAGCACTTAAAGTTCATTATTTAAAATTTTCAATACTTAATTTTCAATTTTATCAAACAGCACCTCACCAATACTTATAATTTGTACTGCATAATTTTTAGTTTTATCAAACAATACTTAAGTTTTACTGAAAATTATATTGACAAGACGAATTTAATTAATTAAAAAAAAAAACATATAAAAGGATGGTGGTCTTCATAAATTCAACATTTCAGACATGTTTGGTCACACAAATTACAGCTTGGAAATAAAGACTACTCAGCACAGGGTCCACACTCCACAGTGGCTTTGATCGCTATTTCCATGTAAATTTCATTTTTTACCCTCCAAAAGGAGATAAAATCACAGCTAATCATCCATCCGCAGTGCCGCGTCACTGTCACATTCCCTAATTAACCCCACCAACAACCCCATTTTTTAAATCCAAACATGCCCTTAAAAACCCAAAACCCTCCTTATACTTTTATTTTTATTATTATTATTTTTTTCTTCTTCTCTCATAGAAGGTGTATCATTCACACAACACTCATACATCCATCATTTAAGTCAGGAGTGATATTCGAAAGCGAGATCTCAAATACTTATCTCCCGAATTTCTGCCAACCCCAATTTTCCCTGGGACGAAACCTTTATACACATCCTTATTGTTTTAACAAAGAATATATATATTGTATTTATCTATTTCAATTATAAATGTATAGTTTTAACAAAATGTGTGTATAATTATATAGTTTAATTAATTTATCCTTACATTTCATAAGAAGCTTAACTATGCAATATTTTATGATATTAGTTAGGACTCACCAAATATGAAATTATTAACTATTCATTTGATTTAAAAAGTGATTTTTTTTTTCCCCAACAAATGAGCATGTTTGTCAATCAATAATGTTAAAACCCTGAATTACAAATATTTACTCCAGCTACGTATTTTCCATTTGACATTCTAGTTTTCATTTTGCATTTTTAATATTTGTATTTCATAATTATAGAGAGACAAAAAAAAATAAGTTATATCACATGTGATAATATTTCGTGTTGGAGATCACATGTGTAACAAATTACATGAACGAATTTGTCTTATATATATTTATGAGATTTTGATTGTTTAATTAATAGCCAAACATAATTGTGTCAATTAATGTTTTGTGGTTGAGTTGGTTGGTATATATATACCTAAATGTCCTTTTTGTCTCAGAAGACACAGCAAAGTTCTACTTATTATATTTAATAAAAAAAAAAACAAATAAGTCCTATAATATATATATTTTATTTATGACCAATAATAACTCTTACTTTTGATACTCTATTCCTTCTAAGTTATAACTTCTATATAATGTTGCCAGAATGATTAGGTTGTATGTTCGTGTTTGAGAACCCGTGTTCAAGTGTTGTACTATCTCCCTCCGTTTTAACTATTAATCCCTAAAATTATTACTCTAAAAATAGGAAAAAAAAATTTCCAACTTCTAAATATTCAAACTTCCATTTACAAACCTTATCTAATTTAATTTGCTGCTTTACAAAATTGGATATAAAATTTAAATAAAAAAACATTTTTTGAATTTTTTTTATAGAATATATTTAATTTTCTGTCTATTAAAATCGTTGAAAATTCTACACAAGATTTTTTAATTCGATTAAAACTTAAAGGACAAGTGTGTGAGTGTGTATATATAAAATATAATATCAAAAAATAAGTTGCCAAATAAAGTGGGAAACATCATCCTCCCATAAAGTTACTAGTGCAAATCCCAAGCTTGGGAGCTTTACAGGTACAGGTGGGACCTAGGATGAAGATCCATTGATGGCTGTTTTCTGTTAATGATCCACTGGACAATGTTCTGTCTCAGCCAAAACTCAAATTTGACTATATGTCGTCTTTTTAACCTTATACCTTCTAGAATCTTCCAAGTTCAAGTTTTTTTTTGTGTGAATTCCTGTAGTATATACCTTCTAGAATCTTCCAAGGTTCAAGATTTTATTGTGAATTTCTTCTGTTACTCACCTAAAATTTATCATTTAAAATTTCAGATCAAATCGTACCATACAAAAATAATAATAATAATAATAATGTACCTACATGGTCTCGGGGGAATACTAATTTTTTTTTAATAATTTAAAGGGAGCAATAGTAAATTTTTAAAGGTATGTAATTGAAGAAAACAAATTAGTATTGCTCCGTTTGTTAAAACAGAATAAATTTGAATGGAAGGGAGAAAATAAGAAATAAATAAAATATCCTAGAAGAGACTGTGTCATTCGTTTATAAATGTTTGATCGGATGAAAGAGAAGAAAAAAGCCTTGCATTTTTTCTTTTGTATCTTCAGTTCACATTTAGAGGGATAAAAATTTATAAAGGATGAATAAAGGATGAATGATGACGCATTCATTGTCTTCTCTATTCTCCTTGACTCCTCTATACCAAACGAAATAAATTTGTTTTTTCATTCTTATTTTTCATTCATCCCCTTTTCATTTATTCCTGCCAAACAGAGCATACAAACGCACTTTATAATAAAAATAGAGCATTATTTTTAAACTCCGTAAATATTAATTAATTTGGTTCAAATAAGTACTACACATACTTACCAATGGGGCATTCAACTCAACGATATAACTCTACATCCTCAATATACATATGTGTGCGCGTGCGCGCGCTACTTTTATTATATATATATATGTGTGTGTGTGTGCTACTTTTATTTTTTATATTATATACACACACACACTATACACACTTTTGCCGGTAGGACTCAAACTCATCTCCTCTTTTCAAATAGTTTGAGTTAATTTAGTTAAATACTTGATTCCTAATAAATAAAATAATTATTCAATTAAATGATTTTGATAACAAAATTAAATATAATCTAAGGCTCCGTTTGGTTACATAGAACTAGGAAGAAAAGAAAACAAAAGAAATGAAAAATGAAAAGAAAAGTCATGCATTTGGTTAGGGTGAAAATTATTCAAGAAAATTTTATTAAAGAGCATAAATGTTACTAAAAATATTTGTACTTACCTAAATTGTCCTTATGTTATATTTTCTTATTTTATAAAAATAATAAAATAATTAGTAGAATAATAAAGAATTAATTAGTAGTAATATATATATATCTAAAAAAAATGATATAGTTTTCAATTAATTGACACTTACAAATTACTATTTATAGAAGTCTAAGTTAAGTCAAACTCTACCACCAATAAAGTTATTATTGATTTGTAATTCTTTGAAATCCTGTAAAAAAAAATAATAATAATTATTGGTGGCTCACAATTATCCTGGATAAAATAGGAATGCAAAATAGAAAGACATTGCTTTCACGAGAAAACTTTATTTTCGCGTGTTTTGGGCAGGTAAAGTTTTGGGGAAAATAACGGGTTGCAATAATTTAAAATTTTGAGAATGTTTCATTTTCATTCTATCCAAACCCTAAAAAAGTTATAAAATTTTCATTTTCCTTTATTTTCTAGTTGATTCTAGCTAACCATACTGAGCCTAAAAGAATAGATTCCACTATTCTAAGGTATTTTAGTAATTAAGTTACACTTAAATTTCAAATTAGTATCAAACAATTTCTCAATTTACACTACTTGAATAAATTTTACTTAAACCAACTTAGTGTTTAATTATCTATAAAATTAAGTGATTATTCAATTATAAATTTTACTTAAAATGTGATAAAATTCTAATTGATGCAGACTTACAACATTTTTACATTTGAGGTTGTATTTGACAATTCAGTACAACACAAATTTTGAATAAATCAACTGCCTTTATTAAGATTTACACACCACTTAAATAAATTTCAGTTAAAATTAAAACTTTACTTATTACATAATATCATAATAAGGACTTCAATTCCAGGAAGTATAAAAAAATTATCAACATTTGAAATTTAAGAATTTCAAATTCATTATTTAGAATTTTCCATTTTATCAAACAAAACCTAAAAAAAATTCTAAATAATGAATTTGAAATTCTTAAATTTCAAATGTTGATAATTTTTTAAAAGAAAATAAAGGAAATGAAAAATATTTGAACGAAGTTTGGTTAGCGGAAAATTTTAAAAGAAAATTACTTTTCATAACCACCTAATATCTTCATTAAAATTTTCTATAAAAACACACATTAAAATTTAATTACTTAATTTTTTTTATAAATTTATAATAATACCCTTTCTTTTATGGTAAGTTTCATGCTATTCAAACCATAAAATCACAATTGCTTATAATTATTTGAATAAAATTTCATACTAAAGAAGATGAAAAATTTTCTTTCATTGACTTCACTTTCTTTTCCTTTCGATTTCAAGGATTATTTTTAATCAAACCAAACAAATTTTCTGACAAATAAACCTATTAAAATTCACACTGACATGACAAATTTAATAAAAAAAAATGTCTATATAAATTGGACATTTCTTTCATACATGTTTGGACACAAATTACAGCTTGCAAATAAAGACTCCTGAGTACAGCCACAGTGGCTTTGATTGCAATTTCCCTATAAATTCCATATTTTTTCCCTCCAAAAAGAGAAAAAAATCACAGCTAATCATCCATCTGTAATGTGTATCCCATTCCCTAATTAGCCCCACCGATACTCCCATTTTTATAAATCCAAACACGCCCTTAAAAACCCCAAACCCTCCCTTAACACATCCGCATTTTTTTCCCCATTCTTCACACATATCAGCGAGAAGAGAGAGGAAGAGAGAGAGAGTACGAGAGCGCCACCACCACCTCTACAACTTCCACTATCAGTTACCACACCAAAAACCCTAACTGTCTCCCATGGATCCCGAGGCAGCTCAGCTCCAGCAAGCCCAACTCGCGGCGATTCTCGGCCCGGACCCCGCCGCTTTCGAAACCCTAATCTCTCACCTCATGTCCTCCTCCAACGAGGTTCGATCACAGGCCGAAATCTTCTTCAACCTCTGCAAACAGACCGATCCGAACTCGCTCGCTCTCAAACTCGCCCAACTCCTCCAGTCTTCGCCTCAGGTCGAAGGCCGAGCCATGTCGGCGATTTTACTCAGAAAGCAGTTAACTCGGGACGACTCGTACATATGGCCTCGATTGTCGCCCGCGACTCAGTCCTCGCTCAAATCGATCTTGCTTTCTTGCGTCCAACGTGAGGAATCGAAGTCGATAATCAAGAAGCTATGCGACACCGTGTCGGAGCTCGCGTCGGGGATTATGCCCGATAACGGGTGGCCGGAGCTCTTGCCGTTCATGTTCCAGTGCGTGTCGTCCGATTCGCCGAAACTCCAAGAATCGGCATTCTTGATCTTCGCTCAGTTGTCGCAGTACATCGGAGATACCCTGATTCCACACATAAAGCACCTTCACTCTGTGTTCTTCCAGTGCTTGAATTCGTCATCTAATTCGGATGTGAAGATTGCTGCGCTTAGCGCCGTGATTAATTTCATTCAGTGCCTGTCGAGTTCTAGCGATCGCGACCGGTTTCAAGATTTGTTGCCGGCGATGATTAAGACGTTGACTGAGGCGTTGAATTGCGGGCAGGAGGCGACGGCGCAGGAAGCGCTGGAATTGTTGATTGAATTGGCGGGGACGGAGCCCAGGTTCCTGAGGAGGCAATTGGTGGATGTGGTGGGGTCTATGTTGCAGATTGCGGAGGCAGAAACCCTAGAAGAGGGCACGAGACATCTTGCAGTTGAGTTTGTGATTACTCTTGCTGAAGCGAGAGATAGGGCACCTGGTATGATGAGGAAATTGCCTCAGTTTATCAGTAGGTTATTCGTCATTTTGATGAATATGCTTTTGGATATTGAGGATGATCCTGCGTGGCACAGCGCCGAGACTGAGGATGAGGACGCAGGCGAGTCGAGCAATTATAGTGTGGGGCAAGAGTGTTTGGATAGATTATCAATTGCTTTGGGTGGAAATACTATTGTTCCTGTTGCATCTGAGCAGTTGCCGGCATATTTGGCTGCTCCAGAATGGCAGAAGCACCATGCGGCTCTAATTGCTCTTGCCCAGATTGCAGAGGGATGCTCAAAGGTATAAAAACTATTCATTTTACATAATTTTTAAATTAAAAGATTATTTCTTAACTCAATATTGTGTTTATTGCTTTGTTTTGATGGAGATGCTGTTTTTCTATGAATATAACTGATGGTTCATGGTTCACCAATTGCTAACAGAAATTGGTGACACTTATATGTGCTTATATATTTTTTTTAATACTTGGTAGCTTAGCTGGATTGTAGTGTTACCAAATGTTTCGTTAATTGTTCCTTTTCCTGTTTTCGGAGATATCTAGTTCATCAATTTTACTTGGATAGCCTTTTGTTTGGCTGGCTTAAGTTGGCTTTATGTTTGTTAGAAAGTGGTGCATTACCTTCACTACTACTGAGTTTTCTTTATGCCCTTGTTGGTGTAGGTGATGATTAAAAATTTGGAGCAAGTAGTGAATATGGTTTTGAATTCATTTCAAGATCCTCACCCACGAGTGCGGTGGGCGGCCATTAATGCGATTGGACAATTGTCTACGGATTTGGGCCCCGATTTGCAAGTTCAGTACCATCAACGCGTGTTGCCAGCATTGGCTTTATCTATGGATGATTTCCAGAATCCTCGAGTTCAGGTTAGTAGGTTTTGTAGTCTATTTAGCTGTTTATAAATAAATTATGACTTGTCTTTGGTCCGGTGACCATTACATACAGCTTGTGTATATGCTCAGTCACTTGTGAATGGTTACATATATTTTTCAGTCATATTTAAAATTTATAATCATTAATATTGATTGGCTTGATTAGTTAGCTCAGTATAGATTTTATGCGCTTTGAAATTTGTATTATTTATATAATCAATTGAAAGGAGTATGTTTGTCCGCCAGAGTGAACGAAATGGGAGCAGGAAGTCATACCATGGCACAACAGTTTTAATTGACGGCCATGACGAAAAAGAAAGTAAAGAGATAAAAGGGGCCCTTCATATGAATCCGTTTCATCTTATAGTCATTGCAAAAGGAAATGAATTAAATATCTTAGGTTTTCAACTTTTCATTGTCTACATGGTAGTAGTTTTATCTTAATCAATACCCAAACTAGGACTTCCCAAAAAATTTCAGAAACATGACATTATTTTAGTAATGCGATTTGGATGAGGGCCATGTATTGGTGGTGGTCATAACTTCCCAAGTCTGAAAGTATGCGTTCGAGTCTTAGGGCTGTCAGTTCATAAAAATAACTTAGAAATGTCAGATCTGTACTCTTTCTTTCTACATCTTCTACTAACGCGAACTACACTAGATAATGGTCTTTTAACGATGATCTGGATGACCGAACTTGGTTACTATTGATTCATTGTAACCTTAATCATATTATTATAAGGACGCAAAGTTTGTAAATATGCTTATCTGGATTTTGACAAAGGAAGAACACAGGGAGTCGCTTTGTCTATTCTTAACTGCAGACTATAAATTTTAGGTAGCTTTTTTGTTTAAATGTTTTTACATGCATTATTCTTTTTGGGATCCAGTCACGAGCGAGACTGAGGACTTTTCTATATCCTTATCGTAGGGATTAATTAGCAGAATGCCTCTTGTTTTACTTTTTAAAATTTGAATTCTGGACTCCTTGCTGTTTATAATAACAAATTTTTTTGTTGGATGCTCTTTATTGTTTACGTTCTTACTGGAATGTGCGGGATAAGAATAATAGATCTTACGCTATCCTTGTGTTTTATGTAGTAATGGTTTTGTAGTTAAAGTGGAGGTAAAATGTTATTTTTTGTTGGCCTTAGACTGTTTGACATTCTGAAGGTCTAGGTTTTAAAGACATGCAACATGATAATGGTTATTTCTTGGGTGAAGAGAAACGCAAGATAGGTGGATGTATTGGCATTGCATAAAGGGTTTGGCAAGGGAGATTTGAGGCCTTCTTTTATCATTTTGAATGTGTAAATATGTATTGTCATAGTTTTATTTTTTTGCTAATAGCAGGCTTGATCTACAGATAAATTTCAGTGGTATGCCTTACTGATGTAATTTTTCTTTTGTTGATAATTTGTTTGTTTGGTCTTTCAACTGAACATTGCCGTTGTATCTCTTCCTATCTTCTGTAATTAAGTTCTTTCTTACAGAAAATATACCATGATCCATAAATTTAGGCATAATATCTACATATACTGAGATTGGATTGTTTTTGACCAAGATATTTGGATAGAATTCTACAGAATCGTAGTTTGAAGTATCTAACTCTCCTTTGTATTGCTTGGTCTTTCCTGCATCATTTTATAAACTTAACATATATAACTTTCTTTAGTATTGCTTGATTTTTGCCTTTATATTATAATGTAAGGTGTAATCGGTCTTATGACCGTGACGGCTTTCTCACATGCCATGCTGTGTGTTATTTATTTTATGTTATTTTTATTGAACACTCCTGGATTTTGGTATATATCATCGTTTCTCTCCATTAATGCAATTATGTTTCATGGAAGTACCTCAACATACAAGATTGAGTTTTTTGGATTACTTATCATTTACTTTGCAGCAAATGTTCATTCGTGGTTATCTATTTGTATTTCTACAGGCTCATGCTGCTTCAGCGGTGCTCAACTTCAGCGAGAATTGCACGTCAGATATTTTAACACCATATTTAGATGGAATAGTGAGCAAATTGCTTGTACTTCTACAGGTACAACAGTAGAATAATCAATACCTTTTTCGTGGAGCATAAGATTGAGCTACTACCTATACAGACTCAGTCATCATCTTGTTTTTGGGACCTAACAATTTTTTCTTGTTCAGAATGGGAAACAAATGGTGCAAGAAGGGTCCCTGACTGCTTTAGCATCAGTTGCTGACTCATCTCAGGTATATTTTTTTATTAATATTGTTAAATAGTTAACATTATGGTTTTGTTGTTATGAATGACCAAGTCTTAACACTTGGTGGATCAATATAGGAGCACTTCCAAAAATACTATGATGCTGTTATGCCGTACTTGAAAGCTATCTTGATTAATGCAACTGACAAGTCTAACCGCATGCTTCGTGCCAAAGCCATGGAGTGCATTAGTTTGGTTGGAATGGCTGTTGGAAAGGATAAGTTCAGGGATGATGCTAAGCAGGCAAGTTGCGATCTAACTCAACTCAATGACCCTATCAACTATTTGGAGTTGTTATATGAATCATGTTTTGCCTTTCTGCTCTATTAAGAGCTACATGTTATGATAGTTTTCCTTAATATTTCAGCCCATTTTAGTTTTTTGATCTTCTCCTTCCCTAGCATCATCCCCAATGTTAAAGGTGTGCCTAGGCTCCAAAAAAGCCGTAGGCTCGTCAAGGCTCAGCTAGAGCGCCTCATCCTACTACAGGCCAGGCCCCATTAATCAGGCTCGCATAAAGCCCCCAGGCTCACGCTTTTTTGCCTTGTATTTTGTAATCATTTATTCATATCATTTTCCTTTTTACTTAATGACCACTAAATTAAAAGGTTCTATATCATATGTCATATTGTTTAACCTTATGAAATATTTGGCAAATAAATTTATGGTTCACTACTTTCATTAACTGCAATTACTACTTGATTATGAATATATATTATGAATATTTCACATGGAATTTTGACATGACTTAATATTTAATTGGCTTTCTTATTCAAGGTTATGGAAGTGCTCATGTCGTTGCAAGGATCTCAAATGGAGAGCGATGATCCTACAACAAGTTACATGTTACAAGTATGTGGTTAATATTGAACTATAAGCAAGGGGAATATTCACAATATACCTCTTAATCTCTTATACGTTCAACCTCTTTGTATGGTAAAATTATAATTATGTTGTAGGCATGGGCCAGACTCTGCAAGTGCTTGGGACAGGACTTTCTACCTTATATGAATGTTGTCATGCCTCCTTTGCTTCAGTCCGCTCAACTTAAACCCGATGTGACCATTACATCCGCAGATTCAGATAATGAAATTGATGAATCAGATGATGAAAGGTGCGTCTTCTTTCTTGAAGTTCCATTTCATATTTGGACAGTAAAAGAAGATTTGAAAATATAGATAGCTTGTATATCATTTTTTTAGCAAGTTCATGGCAATGTGGTTTAAAGTTATTCCCTGATAGTGATTTTGTTGAACTTGAAACATGTAGTACTTTACCTAGATATTAGTATTTGGTACTGTTGCAGTCTTAAAATATACTTGCATCCAAGGTCAAACTATGGAACAGCCGTTGTGCAACAGTTCCATTAACCTGTACTAACAGATGTTGTGGTTGTATTGAATTTCAAAGGTGTAACAATGGTTGTGGTCGTTTTACTCTTCAAAACAAAAAAATCTAAAGGATCTAACCTTAGATCTTGAGCTAAGACTTGATTTTATGGTTATACACTTGAATATCAAGTTTCAACCTTGTTCAATTTTTATTTGTATTTTGTTTGAGTTTTTTTACTTGGATTGCTTGAAGATATATCTATCTACACCAACCCACATTAGACCTATATACATACGCACACCCTTTCATTATATAATTGTTCGACATTGAGACAAGAATGTTTAAATATGATTTTTGGGCAGCTTCAACAATTTTCATCCTTAAGGTTCCTTGGATTGGAGGATTTCAAATGAATGGATTTAGGATTCAATTAAGCAAGAAATATAGCTTGATGGATTTGATAGGATTCAAGTGAATGGATTTGAGAGAATTCTATGTGTGGATTTTGAAGAACAAGGTGTAACGGAGTTATTTGAAATCCATGCTGTCAAGGATCAAGTTACCCAATGATTGTAATAAAATATTTATCCTATAGGCTATAACTCTAATCTAACATCATCTTGAGCTTTTTAATCCAACTTCAATATCCTACCTTTTATGTGAATCAAGTTCCTTGATTTCAGATACGTATATTCATTTATATTTAAGATTATAAAAGAAGTGAATGGTAAAAATTAGCAAGCGACTTGAAAACTAAGATGAAATCCACCAACGTTCTTATATGATACTAATGAATTGGAAACCATCTCATTAAAAAATTGATCTATAATCCAAATATATGGGTGACAGGTGTTAAAACGTGCATCACTATTATTCAGGGAGTTGTGCAACCAATAGAAAGGCTGTGAATCTGCTTTGCAAGTGTAAAGTCCTTTATACCCTGTGTCCGCTTGACTGCAAGTCTGCAACAACTTGAAACCGTGTGTGCAATGCATCATTTATTTTGGGAGGTGTGCAACCAAAAAGAAAGAAAAAAATGTCTTATCTATTTGCTTTCAATATATAAACTGTGCATCACTGCGACAACAATATGAAACCATGCTTGCACTTGGGTATAAGCATGCATGCATTATCACGTGTATGCATCTAATATCATCTGTATGCTTGGTAAATACATGTATTCATCGGACTTTCTTTTTGTTTAAAATGCATCATTTCTTGTCATTGGAACTTGGATGTTCCTTGTAAGCAAGGTCCAGTTGTCTTGAGCCTTCTTTTTCCTGTGCTTGTCCTCATTGTCTTTGTTAGGTATAATAATCCCTCCTTTCATATCCTCTTTCAGGGAAACTACCAACTTGAACCGAACAATTTTGTTGGCTTGAGTGGGATACATTAATTTTTTATTTTTGGTTAGCTTTGGTAAGCAATTTCTTTGGTTTTCAGTTACAAAAGGCTTGTGATTCTTCTTCTCATCCTTCTCCTTCTCCTCATACATATATACCAGAAAATCAGACCCACACTTCTTTGGCCATCAAGAAAATATGATATACGTACAGGGTCGTCCTCTCCACCATAAATGATCTAAGCCCTGCATTGACAACCATCTAAATGAGATGATTGAAGTTCATCTACGTACTCCCCTTCAACGCCCTATGAAGTATGAAGTCAAGTCACATACTCAATCCATCAAAAACTCTCTCTCTCACAACCCAACTCTCTCCGCTCTCTACACCAGTAGCTCACATGAAACCCCAAAACAACTTATCCAAAACAAAACAAAAGATTAAATCCCTTATTAATTTCCAAACTTTGTTTATTTAAAGAAGGAGAAAGAGTATGGAAGGTAGCTAGAAACCAAACAAAGCAAGCAATTAAAACGTTTCCAAATTTTGTTTGTTATAAAGGTGGAAAAACAGTATCGAAGCTAGAAACCAAACAAACAAACAAAGCAATTAAAATTGTAGTAGTGTACCGTGATTTGTAAATGGCCAAATGAGCTAGCAACATGGTTCCAAAGATGAATTGGTATGTGGTAAGAATGGAGGTTGACATACCATTGGTAGTCGCGAGTTCGTTGAATATGTTGACAGTCACACAAAACATCGTTGCAAGCAACATGAGAAGAAAGAACACGATGTTTTGTGTGGTTGTCAACATATTCAACAAACCTGACTCCTTTGCACATCAAGGTTATAATTTTTCATCATCGTTAACTTTCAAAATTTGATCCATTGCTTTTGTCACATTCGGAATCAGCCTAGGCTGTCTCATATCTTTCTTAAATCTCTAATAGGATGACTTGTTCTGTGTTGCCAAGATACTATTTAAGCACATCCCCCACTTCAGTTGTTTGGTTTTTATTGTTTGAAATTCTTTGAGAGGTGATGTTATTGGTTCCCATACCATCAATTGGTGATTGGTTTATTTAAATAATATTCTCCTACTTTATTTATTTATTAAAATCTTTTCAATTGAGCTTTAATTCTTTTCCTCAGTAAAATTTTACAGTAGATGGGTTAGTTCAGAAAAACGACTAGTGTGTGATAGCCATTCATATAAGCAACCACTTGAATTAATCTTCATGTTTAACTGATGATGTATTTTATTTAATTTCATTTCCTTGGCTGACTATCGTGTGCCACTATCAGATTCTGCAATGTTCCTCTGCATTTATATCTGTTCTCCTCTCCTCAAGTTTTCTGGTCAAGATTTGTGTGTTCTTTCTATATCATACGTAAATTATCTTGTTTATGCGTGATGTTCATCGTCGTCCATTGTGGAAAAACCATGACAAGAAAGTCTTCTGGTATAATAGAGAAGCAATTACATGATGTCTTATATCCACCTTGCTCCGATATTTGACTGTCTTATCCCTTATAGTCTCATTGAAGTATCAACATCCTTTACACCAAACATATGTTTTTTTTTTTTTTGAGTCATTAGACTCTAATTGGACCTCTTGGGGAACTGAACAAAATTTTTTCTTCTAAATTCTTTTGTACCATTCACCATATATTAAATTTGTGAAATGGGGAGAGCGAGTTCAATCTTGCCATAATATGTGAGATATGGGGAGAAGAAATTCTGGTTTTCATAACATAATGACAGAGACGTCGTTTTTGATTTTTTTTTTTGCCTATTTATGGCTTATGGTTTTTGTTTGGGGATTGAATCTCTCTGTCTTCCTCTCAAATTATATATTTGCAGCCCCCTGGTTCTTGACATCCACCACCAGGGGCGAGACTGATACTTGATTTTGATGTTTATTTCTTGCTAAACTGCATTCACTTGGCATTATATTAGGGACTATCAGGGAAACACTTATTAATTTCTTACTCTAAGCTAGATGATGGGGTTTCTTCTATTAAGGGTGATATCTCACATTTACTAGAGGGTCTCCGTGAAGCTCATTCCATGATTTTGAAGAATTTGATTGTTGATATAGGGATTTTTATATCTTAGCTTTATTTGTATTGCAGCATGGAGACCATCACTCTTGGGGATAAAAGAATAGGAATCAAGACTAGTGTCCTAGAGGAGAAAGCTACAGCTTGTAACATGTTATGTTGCTATGCTGACGAGTTGAAGGAAGGTTTCTATCCATGGATTGATCAGGTTGGATTTGAGGCAATATTTATTTATTTATTTATTTTAATTTTAAGGATGTCTACAATAGTGTGATTGATAAAGTGCTATTCATATTTGAGCAGGTTGCCCCAACTTTAGTTCCGTTGCTGAAGTTTTATTTCCATGAAGAAGTTAGGAAAGCAGCTGTTTCAGGTATGATCTCAGTTACGTTGCCTTAATTTTTTTTCTTTTCTTGATACTGTTTGAAATCTACTGACTATCTTAATGGGAAATGTTGATTTTCTGTTTATAGCTATGCCAGAGCTATTGCGCTCAGCAAAATTGGCAGTAGAGAAAGGGCTTGCTCAAGGTCGTAATGAGTCTTATATTAAGCAATTGTCAGACTACATAATTCCGGCTTTGGTAGAAGCTTTACATAAGGTGGTTGCAGTTTTTGTTACTAAATAATTTCATCCTATGCTGTGATGAGAATCTTCACGGGTGCATGATGCTTATTGGTCAGATAGTGATATATATTTTGATTGCAATTTCCTTGCAGGAACCAGATACGGAAATATGTGCAAACATGTTGGATGCATTGAATGAATGCCTGCAGGTTTGTCAGTTATTGCAATGAGTTAGACTATGTAATTTTCACATGTTGGGAGTAATCTCCCCCCCACCAAAAAAAAAAAATAAAATAAAGTGAGAACAACAATTTTGCCAGGTGGTTAATGTTGGTTGATATTATTAGATGACCAAAATATGTAAATTTTACTACAAATTCCATGGTTTGTCTGCTGCGGTTGATGATAGAAGAGGGGAGACTCCTATTGTAATTTATGATGAATTTAATTACCAAAAGAAGATTTTAGTTTTAGATATCACAATGCTAAAAATTCTTTCATTCGAATCTTACCTTTTCTCCTCTAAATAAATGTGCATTTTTCACCCTTTTCAGAGAGTAGGGACATCAACTCAGGGTTCTAAACTTCTATTCCTTCAGATGAATCCATCTAAACTTACCAAAACCATATTCCCGACTGCTTTTCCTGAAAAAACTGATACCATCTGATTGCGTCAGTATTTTTATTTTTGTTTTGTCAAGATAAATGAGGACAAATACACACATACAAATTTTTTCCTAGCTGGTGGTTTAAAATTATTTTTGATGAACCTTTTTAAAGTTTCAAAACTGTAGAATCTATACTGTCTTTTTACCCTTTAGTTTTTCAAAACGAAACTTAGCCAACATAAGCTGCTTAGTTATTAAGTTGATACCTTTCATGCTTGCTTTGTTAAATTTTACTGGGTTGAGCTTGAATGAAGATGGACAAATCTGAGAAAAACCTGAGGGGGGACTGGTCATACCTAGCTGAAGAATACATCTATTATTTTCTTCGGTTGTTAATTTACATCTGTAAAAGTTGCTGCTGATAACCATTGATCAAGTCTTAGGATTTATTTGAATTTCTTGGTTAAACTAATTTGTAGTTTGTGAACTCTGCTTTCAGATCTCTGGACCTCTTCTGGACGAAAGCCAGGTCAGAAGCATTGTCGATGAGATAAAGCAGGTGATAACAGCCAGTTCAAGTAGAAAAAGAGAGAGAGCAGAGAGGGCCAAAACTGAAGATTTTGATGCAGATGAGGGGGAATTGCTTAAAGAGGAAAATGAGCAAGAAGAAGAAGTTTTTGACCAAGTTCGTTTCAGTAACTGCTTTTGAGTGTCACATACAAGTGAACATGGTTTTACGCTTGTAATTTTAGTTTATTCTCTATGTTTTGCCTCACAAATTATTTTCTACATTCAGGTTGGCGAAATCCTGGGAACTTTGATTAAAACATTTAAAGCCTCTTTCTTGCCATTCTTTGATGAGCTATCATCTTATTTAACACCTATGTGGGTAAGTTTTGCCACAAATTACTTCTTGTTGGTACTTGAAGTTTGGTTTATTCATTTTTGTGGTGCCTTATCTTGCTTTTATAGTTATGCTAATTTTATGTGTAGTTGATTCTCTTTATGATATCCGCTCAATCTTTTAATTCTGATCTCATTGACCTGTCAATGTTGAATTTTATGCAAGCTGCTCTTTTGGCATTGTGCTTCATTTTATTTTATAAGTGCTTACTGTTTTAATGCAGGGTAAGGACAAGACACCTGAAGAGAGGAGGATTGCAATTTGCATATTTGATGATGTTGCAGAGCAGTGTCGTGAAACAGCTCTGAAGTAAGTATACGCCTGAAAATATCTATTTACGAGCATGCCATAAAATGAACCTAGCTACTTGGGCTCAATTCCTGTTCTATTCGTTTAGAAGCTTGTTTTAGATCAGTTATTGAGACAAATGAGCCCGACTTGATCATATTCTGAAACTCGTTTTTTGATGAGCTTCCTTTAGTTCAATCATAAACTAAGAAGCATTAGTATATAAAAAAAGACTATGCGATTGGAAACTTTGTGGCTTATTCAATATTTGCCTTGGGAGAAACAAGCTAATGATCATGTATTAGAGATCATTAATTATCTAGGAAGTACGGATAATAACACGAGACAAGGCTACGACACCATTATTGACATGGCCATTTGAAAAATGTCAAAAAAATAAGACATGGAATATGGCAGTAATACGTCAAAAAATTATAATAAAATATATTATTGTATACATACGTATATATTTACTCATTTTCTCCACGTTATCATGAACGAAAACACTAATTTGGAGCTTAGAGCTAGATGTTTGTCTTAAATTTTATATTAGTATTTTTAATTAATCCATACTATATTTTAAAATTGCATTGGAATCACATTCTTCTAAGAAGAATAATTACAAAATTACCTTGCTGTTAGTCCCAAACGTGCCTTTGCCATGTCCCACCTGGGGAAAAAGTTCAAATTCCAGGACACATCTCACCATGTTCTACAAGTATCAGTGTGTCCGACACGATTAATTTATTGCTTCTTTTGGGGTGGGTGCTGACTGCTGATGTAATTTATGGCTATTCGTGCAATTTAATTGTTCATTTTTCCTTCATGTTTGGACCAGATATTATGATACATATCTTCCTTTCCTTTTGGAAGCCTGCAATGACGATAACCCTGATGTTCGACAGGTATGCACAAAAATAGTAATGTTAGATTTCATGCCTCTGATTACTTTTCTTAGTGATGGCATCTGAACTATATGATCATTATTTGCAGGCGGCTGTATATGGACTTGGTGTTTGTGCAGAATTTGGGGGTTCGGTTATTAAACCTTTGGTTGGAGGTAGGATCTATTTACATGTAATTGGGCTTTGATTTCTTTCTATATTGTATTTGGGTTTGGGGGTTTGGTTTGAATTAACTGTTTTCTGATGCCCTTTTTTCAGAGGCTCTTTCAAGGCTAAACGTTGTAATTAGGCATCCTAATGCCCAGCAACCTGATAACTTAATGGCATATGATAATGCCGTTTCTGCTCTGGGGAAAATATGTCAGTTTCATCGCGATAGTATTGATTCAGTTCAGGTAGTTCCAGTTTTCTGTTCATTATAATATGTTGTATTTATGATCGCTGCTGTGCACGATATGTAAAAGTCAAAGGCAGTAAGAGTAGGAATTATCACCTTATGATTCAACGGTGGCCCAGAAGACCTTGCTTGCAAATACATATTTATCTGCCGCACACCAAAAGTTAGGAATTACGGTTTTGTTGATTTGAGTGGGGTTGAATTTAAATTAACTAAATTTGGTGTACAAATGTGGATCACATTCATTCTTTGATGCATGCTTATTGATCTTGTTGGAACTAGGTTATGTGATATTAAAACACACTGCAGTTTTTGGTTCCAAATTTTGGTGAGGTCTTCAGATCTAATCGAGGTTGAATTTAGATTTAAAATTACGCATGTGATTTAAAAATTCAATGATACACGGAATAAAAAATTGAAAAATATGTGCTGTTCAAAGCAGGGAATAAATTCTTCAATTTTTTGAAGTTCATATCCAAGCATGAAGGCTGAAGTATACAGTATTATGATTCTCCAACAATTTATTTTGACCATTCAACCTGAACCTTTTGTGCAGAAAATGTTTTATTGTACTTCTGTGATGTGATGTTAGCCACTCTGCAGCTTTATGTTACCAAGAACTTGATATCTGATCTGTTAGGCATTCAAAATCATTATTACACAAACAAAAGCATGTAACTAGAAACTGCAGCTCTAAGAAGGAAGCCCATGTAATTTTTGTTATCGACTCCTTTGTTTTCGCAAGAAAACAGAATGCATTAGATGCTGCTGTAGTCGACGGTGTGCTGATCCTGTTTCCTACAGGGTTTTATTCTAGTAGAGTTTTCTTTACATAAGATAGTTTGTTTTAATGGATCCAATTTTTATTTTTAAATTTGGAGTGGATTCTTGTGCTCGTACTTTTTACATACTTGTAGATTCTGGCAGGGTTGTCTCTTGCTTTATATATGTTCCATAAAATTCTTCCTTCATCTGATATTAGAAATGGCTTCAGTTGTCGTCTACAATTTTTTTAAGTATCTTTTGTTGGCATTTTTTCAACCTGGCTGCTGTTATTTTTTGTCAGGTTATTCCTGCCTGGTTAGGCTGCTTGCCAATAAAAGGAGATCTGATTGAGGCCAAGGTTGTTCATGAACTGCTTTGTTCAATGGTTGAAAGGTAGGGCCTTCAGTTATAGCTTTATCTTTTTAAGCACTCTTCTTCGTCTGTTTTGATTTGTCCTTCTGCAGTGTGCTTGCACCCTACTACTTTGACTTGGTTTTTTTTACAGGTCAGATAGAGAACTTCTGGGTCCTAACAACCAGTATCTTCCAAAAATTGTGGCAGTATTTGCCGAGGTGAGTGTTTTTTATTTTGGGTTTTGGGGGCGGGATGTCGCATTCCAGTAATTTAGCTTTGTCATCATATTACTATTTTTTTCAGGCATTATGAGCGGGTGTTTAGTTTGTTTCTCAAATTCAATTTAAAGAAAAAAACAAAATTATTTATTAGTAGTGGTGATTTTTAAAAATACTTCTCAATCTTTAACAATTAATCACAAAAGTTACAATCCTTCTCAAAATTGGCCTAACAATTGGTTACAGTGGGAATTTATCAACAATTGACTTCGAACTACTCAATAACCTTGTGGGGTTTGTGTATGCTATTGGAAATTTTTTTATTTGTAGTTAAGCACACATATCGGTGCAGTTTACGTACTAACAGCAAGTTTTTTGTTTATTGATGGGAACTAACTGTTGCTATAGGTTCTATGTGCCGGTAAGGATCTTGCCACAGAACAAACTGCAAGTCGAATGATTAATCTTTTGAGGCAACTTCAACAGACACTACCACCATCGACCCTGGCTTCAACTTGGTCATCATTGCAGCCCCAGCAGCAGCTTGCATTACAGTCCATCCTCTCATCATAGTATTGTTGGTGACTAGATACATCCGCTGTTCATTGGGACGTTGCTTTGTCCGGTCAGTTTGTGTCAGTCATATATTTGTTACCCCATTCTTTCCCATAAGATGTTCCCGCAATTCATTTTGCAGCAACTAGGTGTCGTCGGTTGTGTGGTTGAGTGTGAATGTCATTGCAATTGAAATGAAACCCCTTGTGTAGAATGTGTATACTAAAGAGTGTTATTCAATGGTGGGTGGGGGTACTGCATCCATAAGGAGGGTCAGTAATTGTGGTTTGTGAGGTGGTCGTCGGTTGTCGGTCAGTCAGTCGTCGTGTGAGGTTTGAAGGTTTCCGGTGAGGCAATTCTTGTCGCAGTTTTGGTCGGTCATGTTTCTGTTAGCGATTTTGATAATACTAAAAAAACTAAATCATAAACGGTGGTTTTATTTATTATATCTTGATGGTCGATATGATTGGATTTTTGGTATTTCCATACAGAGATTTTATACTTGTTGGTTCCGTTCCTATTAATTTTATATTTATTTTTTATCACCAGTTGGTAAATGTGATTCTCTTATAGGGCAATATATAAATTTCTGAAACGTGCTCAAAGTTGGTGTTGATACAGCTTCCGTTAAGTCCTAAATCTTAATATCATTACACGGATTTCTTGACGATAAAATAGGGACTGCTGGTGATGTTGAGCTTGTGCGCTTTCCTTATCATATTTTGTGCCTAGCTTTGAGGGATGCTCTTGAATGACACACTAGTTTGTTCTTTTTCGTTTGCTTGCCAGGTTTTAAAAAAACAAGTGTTGGTGATTGGCCGTGTCCATATAGTCCCAAATCATGTAAAGAAGTATAGTACCAAATCATGTAAACTTCTTTAGAGGAAATTCTGAAAGAGTCCTGAGATCTTCGTATTAAATAATCGTATTTAACTTTTTTCGGACGAGAGACTTTTTATGGACAAGAGTCATGTGACGTGACGAGAGTGGATCAAAAATTAGCATTTGTAGCAATGTTTGCCTAATGAATATGTTTTTATTTTTAACACTATAATTCAAAAGTCAGTTTGACTTTGTGGTATGTGGGTGAATTATTTCTTTGTTGAAACTAATGGATAAAAAGTTGGCATTTGCATCAATGTTTGCCCAATGATGAGGTTTTTATTTTTGACATTCGAATTCAAAAATCAGTTGTGGGTGCTAAGAATGGTCATTGGTAGTTGTTCTGATCTTATATTGCGGATAGGGACAACATAGATAAGTTGATAATGATTGAAATCGATATAATTTTACATGAAGTTTGGTAGTTTATGGCAGTGGAGATTCGATTAAAAGGAGCATGCACCATAAGATTCTACTAGTTATACCTAATACATCCTACAAACCTACAATTATATATATATATATATATATATATATATATATTGAGAAATATAAAAAAGCAAAAAGAGGTTGACGGCATTGAGGGGATTTATCTGGATGGAAGTATGGCATGTATCCAAGTGTCAGGCCTGATTCACTCCAAAACAACATTTCAGAATATAAAAAACAAGTTGTCCGGCCTTCTTCGTGTGGGCAACTCTGTTTTTAAGTTGACCAAGTGAAACCCTACTAAACCTATAACAGCAATAAGAAATTGCACACGACTCAATTTGACTTTTGTCACACTTAAATATATTCATTGGGGGCTATCCTTGTCTATAGCGAAATGACTTGCATGCCCCCCTCTGCTTTGGTCCTTTGCTTCAAATTCCTTCAATTCTATGTATGGTAAATTGAAACTCAAAATGACTATGTTTTCACACTAATTTACTATTTGGTTCTCATAAATTAGTTGTGTCTTTTACTTTGTTGGAGAGTGCTTACAATCTTAAATATGGATCATGATAACTTAGTGTACGAGGCTCCTGTTATTACTGAGTTCGGAGAGAGTCAGATCTACGCAATCATACTTCTGTATGAAGAAATTTTCGATTTCAAACTCGTGACCTTCATGCCTCGAGGAAGTAAAGTTATCATTGTTTCTAGACCCGAGACAAGTAAAAATAAAAGAAGTTGCATTGATCATAACTCAGCACTCCAAAATTTAGGGCGAAATTAGACATTTAACTAACTATGAAAAGCTTGGCACACAAACATGTATATGTCACAGAAATGAACATTTTGGAGTGACCAGCCATGAACATTGAGAAATCAGTCAACCATAAAGAAGGAACAAATTCAACTTGACAACCAGACAAGCAAAAAAAGACGAGGCACCCCACTATCTTGAGACCCCTATAAAACCCTCCTTTATCTTGCCTTTTCCAACCCAAAACCTTCTCTCATTTCCCTCACACACAACTCTTCTCCTACAATGGAACTTCAGTTCCAAAAGCACCAAAAACAAGGCTTTTCAACAACACCAGCAGCCAAACAAAACACCTTCAAGGAGAGAAACAGAAGCACTTCCTCCAACAAAAGCAAGTTTGTAGGTGTGAGACAAAGGCCTTCCGGCAAATGGGTGGCAGAGATCAAGAACACAACTCAGAAGATCAGAATGTGGCTTGGGACATTCGACACCGCTGAAGAAGCTGCAAGAGCTTATGATGAAGCCGCTTGCCTCCTCCGCGGTTCCAACACCCGAACCAACTTTGTCAGCACCCATGTCCCTCCTCCCAACTCTCCTCTCTCCCAGAAAATCAAAAACCTTCTCTATCAAAAGAAAGCCATAAAACACAACTCTCCTTTTACCACCAAAAAGACCAGCATTGAAACTAGTACTGCAATTAGTACTTCACATAGTAGTGGTGGTTATGTGTGTAATTCTAAGGGTTCAAAACAAGAGACTCAGATGTTTGATGATGCGTATAAACCGGATTTGAGCAACTGCATTGGAGGATTTGAAATGGGCAGTTGTCAGTTTGATCATCCAGGAGGGATTACAAGTGAATTCGACCGGTTTCTTTTGAGCCAAGAAGGGTTTGATCAGGTGCCAAAAAGAGTTGGTTTGGTGTGTGATGAGATAGTTAGTGAGCCTCAGATTCCAGAATTTGAACATATGAAGGTGGAGAGACAGATATCAGCATCACTCTATGCAATGAATGGAGTGAGTGAGTACTGGGAGAATGTTCATGACTCTGGTGATGCTTTCTGGGATCTTCCTATGCTGTCTCAAATGTTCTGCCCAAGTTAAATTCTCTCCTCTCTCTCTGTTTTTTTCTATAGAATATATATATAGGTAGCTCCATTTGGTAAATGGAATGAATGAGTTCTGTTTTTGATTCTAGTAATTGCAGTGGGGATTATCCTCTGATATAAAAGTTGTAGTTTTTATTTGCTGCATCGATTACGTCGAGAAATTATTACATGGTGTCGGAACTATTGATTCGGAGTCAATCATTATCCGACACTTAGAGTAAATGTATCGTGAATGTGTTAGTTTTATTGAATTTTTTATTTTGGTACTAATTTTTCGAGTCTCTTTTATCATTCAAACTTGACAAAGTGTTCAGAAAAAAGTAGATGGATTGTTGAATTTACTCTCTCTCATTCAATTTTGTTTCACTTAAAGGTTGAAGAACTTCAAAGAATGAACTTGGCATTAATCGATGGACATTAGCTCAGCTAGCATGATCTCTCCTACCAATGGTGATTGGTTGGACTAATATGATCAATAATGTTCATCGCATGAATGCAGAGAGGTTATTTTTGTGATTCGAACCTGTAACGTTATTGGGTCAAACCTACTCTCATGTAACTTAAACACACAATTGACCGAAACATGCCAGGGATAAAAGGAAAACAACAAATGGACAAAAAAAAAAAAAAATTTCTGGCTAAAAATTTCATGTTTATTACAACCAAGCTTCTGTTCTAATGATATTTTATCTTTTTTAAATTTAAAAGGTAGAGGGTTCAAGTCTCCCTAAGTGCACCGTCAGGGATGGACCTATAAAAGTATATGAGAGGGCCGACTTTAAAAATAAAAAATAAAAAAATAAAAAGGGAATTGTGAAGAGCAATAGTGGAGTTTTTCTTTAATTTTAGTGGGAGCAAATTCAAAATTTTATAAGTATACAATTTTAGAAAGTAAAATTAATGGATATAATAGCAAAAAGATGAAATTTCGGTTGTCTGCGTGTGCACCATGCGAGACCAATATATATATATATATATATATATATATATATATATATATATATACAATAATTTAAATAAATTATTAAATAAATGATCTTTCAGTTTATTTAGAAGGAATAGATTGTCAAGAGTGGAAACTAATGCTGCTTATCTTCTATTTACTTGTTATTACACCTAATTATTTTCACCAGTATTTACGGGTTGAGAATGATGTGAACGTAGAGGTGGGACTTGGGTGGGCCTAACCCAAGTAACCTGATCCTTGTCCGAAAATTTTATGAGAGTGAGCAAAGTACTTAAGACAATGGAATGTGATTGAATTTAAATTTCAAAGCCCGAATTTATTTTAGATAGGAGTTGGGAAACGGTTTTACGAACCCTACAATCTCGGAATAGAAGAATAGTTTATAAATTTTACAATTTTTAAGACTATACATATTTATGTAAAATTAAATAAAAATTAAATTATTTATAATATTATCAATCATGGATTCACAAGTGTTGAAGCAGGATTCTACACGATCCCGAAACGACACCGTTTCCCTTCAACAAAGAGGTGAACTTTGATCGACACCGGTGTGGTGCCTATCAAATCTCTCTGACGATCAAGTCATTTACTGGAGCTCTGAAGTAAAAGCAAGAATTTAATGTATTAATTGTCTCGTACCTCTTTGGTTGGTGAGATGTCATATTTATAATGATGCTCTCATACAAATTGTTGCGACTTGTTGCGATTTGAGGAGATATTTAAGGAGACTCTTCCTTTTGAATTTAAACTGTTGTGATCTACTTGTTATCAGTTCAACTGCTTCCGTTTAATTTCATACTTACGGTTGAACTACCTTATCCAATCTGTTTGGATGATCTTATTTAAATTATCATTATCAATGAGAATTCATTAATTTTGACACCCTTACTTTAAAACTTTAAAGTGAAAAATAAAATAATAAAATTTTAGCTAAGGAAACAAAATAACAAAGAATATAAGTTATTTAGTTATATAATTTACTATTTTATTTTCTTGGTTATTACTAACTTATTAGAATTTGGAATGACCCTAGAAATTCAAAAAAACCTACTAAGCTCATATAGTATGGCACGAGCTAAAAGGCAATTGATTTTTCTGGACTTGGGTTTGTTGCATGCTAAGGTGTTAGAACATTAAGTTTGGCGTGGGCTTTACCCTTAGCCCGCCCACACACACACACAAGAGTTGAGGATGATTCTACGATGTGTTGAGTTAGGCTGACGAACAGAGAGCAATAGTGATTTTTTAAAATGATTTTAGTAAGGCTATAGTGAAATTTTATAGGTATATAATTTTAAAATAAAAAGTCATATAAAACTAAAAAAATAAAAATTTAATGGGGGCAATTGCCCCACTGTTTTTTGTGGATATTGTGGATAAGTGTATATAGAATAATGCAAGATTCTAGCATATTTGATATTTTGTATTTTTTTTTTTATTTATTAACCATGATATTTTGTATAAGTTTGTAGATTAAAGAAGATTTTAGAAATTTAGAGTGTTGGTAGAGGTTGTAAATATTTAGGATATTTTTTTGAAAATTTTAGAATTATATGTTAGCCATTAATTGTAATAATATGGTAATGTCTATATATAGTGCAATAGTTTCATTTGTGTTGCCCACCAAAATGATGGGTCATATTCTTTCAAAAGCGTCAGTGTTTCAACCAGACAACTAAATAAGATGTTACGGGAAAAGCGTCAGTGTTTCAACCAGACAACTAAATAAGATGTTACTTGTCCCGTGGCACAATCGGACTAAAGATAGCACCAAAATAATTAATTGGTCTGCCTATAAAAAAATAACACTATTAATGTAATTATAATTATAAATAACACTCTAAAGCTAAATATTTTTCCCTAAATGTTATTATGATAAAAATTAACAAATCCTTGAATATTATCCAAACTTTTTCATGAATTCCTCTTGGTTTCCTCAAAACACACTTTTATCCGATTTTTGGTCCACTAAAATTTCACCTAACATACCTCTTTGTCAACGATTTCTGATTGAGCGTTGACCAAGCTTGATCTCGAACAAAATGGTTTGGCAATTCTTCCAGTAAGGAAGAACGATACGACTTTGAATGTGTTTGTTGTACTCTGTCTTCAGAGTCTTCAAAATTGTTAAATTTGAGGAGGGACGATATGATTTCGAATGTGCTTGTTGTTTTTCGTCTCCAGAGAATTTGTTGAATTTGAAAAAACGAATGCTGTGGTGGTTGTTCTTCTCTTTAAAGGCTTGGGTATTGAAAGAACAACAGGTTTTGGATTTTATCTGAGTCTTGATATTCTCTCCATCAATCTTAATGTTCTCTATCTATTTTCTCCACCCTTCTACCTCTATTTATAGGCTTCATGAAAATGTAGAATTGTTAATTATCCTCAATTACATTTTATTAGAAATAATTATTTCTTCATTTAGGGCTAGTTAAATGACTTGAGATGACCCAATGTTGGTTAATTAAACAATTTAAGTTGACGCACAACCCATAATTTGCTGTGATATTGTCCGATAGCATACTAATTCCATAAGTCTAGTCAGTTGTAGATCATCTTCTTCCTTGACAAAGAAATTATGCTAAAGAACAACATGGCTGTTAAAAATCTCTCGATCACTAAATGTAATTAAACCTTGAAAAACGATGTTCATTATGAAATATTCGAGCTTTTATGAAAGAATTGGACCATCCTTCTCAAGTCAAATATTTTTTTCCAATACATACAACTTTAACCACTCATCACCCTTGATATTGTCCAATTTTGATTTTCATGATTCATTTTCCCTAAAAATTGGTGGTACTTCAATTTAGCACCAATAAAGTAGTGTATACTAGCAATACAAGTGTTAAATTATGGGTGTTTGGAGGAGAGTAGCACTCCTTATAAAGTCCTCGTGTTGCACGCCTTTTAAGAATTATAAAAAAAAAACAAAGTATTCAATTATTCATCTCTTTCCAAGTTCCAAGTCAAATACAGACTGTAAAGAAAGCTTCTTTTGAAGCCCATCTTTCCCATCTCCCACAAGATACAAGAACAAGACAATTAAGAAGGGATGACCACCAAGATTTGAAAGCAAATTTATACATCCCTCCCAAATCAACCTTTTTAAAAGCACATAAAGACAATTTCCTAAAAAACATATCCTAAAAAAGGCTATCGGTTCCACTTCCAAATTCTAAGGAATATCAAATATGAGTTTTAAATAGACAAGTTTTAATGCCTTGTGTTCCTATAAGCTGTTTGTCAAATCAAACACGCACAATTGCATTACAAGTCTGGTTTCAAGCCCGCCCTTTCCGGCGGCTTAGCAAAATATAACCACCTTGTCGACAAACAACAGTAGGCAACTTTAAACTTCTCAAGAAGAAGCATATATATATATATATATATATATATATCACATCAAAACAATGATCAAACTGCAATAAAACGAATTAAGTGCAGGAAATTGATTTAATAGGGATGATGATGATGGAGGTCGATCACCCCAAGGAAAGAAAAAGGTATCAAGCTTCTTTCATACCACAAACATTTTTTCAACCACAACACAGAACAAGAGGCAATTTTAACAAATTTCTTAACACGGACAAGAAAAGAAATAGAACATTACATAGACAAGAGTGTGAAAGGGTGAGGAGCAAAACCCTCCTCGGATGTTTACCAAACCATTCCCAGACAAAATGACTAGCAGAATTACCTCAGTAATCTTCGCCCTCTTCTTCGTCATCCACGCCTTCAGCACCAACTTCCTCGTAATCTTTCTCGAGAGCAGCTAAATCTTCACGGGCCTCAGAGAACTCCCCTTCTTCCATGCCTTCGCCAACGTACCAGTGAACAAATGCCCTCTTCGCATACATGAGATCGAACTTGTGATCAATGCGTGAGAACACCTCTGCCACTGCTGTGTTGTTGCTGATCATGCACACAGCGCGCTGCACTCGGGCAAGATCACCCCCGGGTACCACTGTTGGAGGCTGGTAGTTGATACCGCATTTGAAGCCAGTCGGGCACCTGTGAAATCCAAAAATCAAACCACCTTTCAGATTGGACAAAAAGATGCAATCCAAAAAGCATTTGGTGCTTGCCAAAAAACCCACACACTAGAAACATGTTCTGCTACTTAATTTATGGATTACACACCATGATCATTATATTCATATAGAGTTCACTGATGTATTGATGGATGAATCAGAAACTAATCCTGCTCCAATTACAGTCCCTATACAATTTGAACAAGTCTTACAAACATGATGTTGAGAGTTAACCCAGCTTAGAGCAATAGAATTGAGGTCACCAGCCCCAAACCCACTACCACCATTCGCCTTCTCATCTTTGCACTTGTTTTTGTACTCGGTGACTCTTGCATGTGTGCTTTTGTGTGTATCTTAACATCATTCTAATAAACACATTTAAGTTCAGAAACTTGCATGCACATATATATGGGCAATCTAAACCTAATGTGGCGGCAACTATAAGGTGATTTGTCTTCTAGAATGAAGCCAGTCAACTACAAGAAGTTGTTTCTATCATGTAAATAGATTCTCCTCGGGAGAAAATAGACTGACAGCTACATTTTATCAGAGAAATCACATAAAGAGCCCCCTATCCATGCTGATACAAGCACAGAGCAAAATCCAAATCCCAGGAAATGGTAATAAAAAGAACTCACCCATTGGTGGGCCCAGTGAAACCCAATGTGCTAAATAGATCTAATTTAAAATTTGCAAACATAACTTGGATGCTAAAAGATCATACCCAGTGAAACCCAAAAGGCTGAATAGATCAAATTTCAAATTGAAAACACAAATTCCATGCTAAAAATTTGTTTCCTAATAGTTCACTACATTCATATCATTCAAAGAAAAACACTTCCAAGACAATTTGAAGTTTAAAATTATTAAATTCTAAATCATCTTAGAAATCATCATTCTAGTATCGTTTGCCAATTTATATGCATTTTCTCACCAGTCAACGAACTGAACAGTCCGTTTGGTCTTGATAGTGGCGACAGCAGCATTAACATCCTTGGGAACAACATCTCCACGGTACATCAAGCAGCAGGCCATATATTTCCCGTGCCTTGGATCACATTTTGCCATCATGCTCGAGGGCTCAAACACAGCATTTGTGATCTCAGGAACTGATAGCTGTTCATGATATGCTTTCTCGGCTGAGATAACAGGGGCATAAGAGGAAAGCATAAAATGGATACGTGGATATGGAACAAGGTTAGTCTGGAACTCAGTAACGTCCACATTAATGGCTCCATCAAACCTTAAGGAAGTGGTCAAGGATGATATGATTTGAGAAATTAATCGGTTCAGATTGGTGTAAGTTGGCCTCTCAATGTCTAGGGATCTGCGGCAGATCTCATAAATGGCTTCATTGTCCAAGAGCACCGCCACATCTGTGTGCTCAAGGAGGGAATGCGTAGAAAGAACACTGTTATAAGGCTCCACAACTGCAGTTGAAACCTGCAATCAACCACACAACAATTAAATTAACTAAAAAAGTTATAGTTTATGTTAAACAATCCTTTTCTAGTTCTTTGTCCATATGTTTGGTAATTTTTTAGAGCTCATCACAGTTAACAATCATCATAATGATGTTACAATGTTCACTACTGAAACCATATCCCATGTGAGTAACCCATATAAATAGTGAACTTATCAGAGATTGAAAATCTAGAATTGGGAACTGTAAGCACCTGAGGAGAAGGGTAAATGGTGAATCCAAGCTTTGACTTCTTTCCATAGTCCACAGACAAGCGTTCCAACAACAAGGACCCCAAACCAGAACCAGTACCACCACCAACAGCATTGAAAACTAAAAACCCTTGCAATCCAGTGCAGTTGTCAGCTAACTTACGCACTCGATCGAGACATAGATCAACAATCTCCTTCCCCACTGCAGAATGTCACCAAAATGAGTTCAAGCCCACATAACAGACATGTACAAGTGCTAACTTATGAATTGTACAAATATTGTAGTTACCTGTATAGTGTCCTCTTGCAAAATTATTGGCAGCATCTTCCTTTCCAGAAATAAGCTGTTCAGGATGGAAAAGCTGGCGGTAAGTCCCTGTCCTGACTTCATCAATGACGGTTGGTTCCAGGTCAACAAATATAGCTCTAGGTACATGCTTGCCCGCACCGGTCTCACTAAAGAAGGTATTAAAAGCATCATGTGCAACACCCACAGTGTTGTCACTGCAAAAAACCAAGAATAGATTGTGAGGAATCCACTACAAATATAAAACCAAGATAACCAGATAAGTTGCAGAAATATACAAAGCATACACGAAAAATGACATTGAACTCAGAACTTCTGAAATTGAGGAATAACAAAGACTGTGACCAAAAAACACAAGGTTTCAGCTCAAATTCATTTGTCACTAAATATATGCCAATGTGATAAATTCTACATTCTACAAATCCTGATTAGTCATCCAGAACTGTTTCCCATCATTTTTCTCTCATTTCAAAACAAATTTTCTGATAAAATTGTCATTATTGTCCTATTGATTTCGAAGTGCCATAGATATGTTATGTAGGATTCTGAGTCGAGTTAACTCGGAAATTTGAGACCCTGAAGAAACAAAAATCCCCAACTATATTGACTCTCATTCATTTTTTCAAAACTCAAGACAACAAACAACATAATATCAGCTGTAATTTTTTACTTTTTCTTTTGAAAGAACAGATTTAACCTAATCCACAATGAAACAACTAATCTACCCTCCACTTTATAATGGATCAAGAATACTACATCATTACAAACACCAATTAATGAAATTAAGGGTTTTATAACCAAAATATTATGATAATATCAAAAAAAATTGTCAATGTGGCAATTAGACAAGAAAATGGGAGTTCATTCACATCCATCAAGAAACATCATTAAGACAAGCAACTTAGTTATTAATAAAAAATAAAATTAAAAAAAAGACCAGAGAGAGAGATTCGAAACAAAAAACTGCAGATCCGTCAAAATCATCACAAACCAGACGAATTTCAGTTCAACTTCGATCAATTTATAGACGTCCATAGAAATCACAACACCAAACCAAAAAAACTTGATAATGAAAATCAGAAAGAAATATAGATCAGTACTTCGATCAATCAAGTAAACAGCAAGCAAATAGGTTCAGATTTATCGATCAATTCCAATTTACATGTACCAAATCGAACAAATAACATGCTAAATACCCCCAAATTTAATACATTACACATACAAACAACCCAAACATTTATACACACAAAGACGAACACATACCTAAATGCATACACGCAGAGATATAAATCTAGGCATCATTCATCAGCTCGATTCACACACACACACACACACACACAGAAATGATAATTACAACAAAAAATGCTAAATAAAAATAACAATAATGCAAGAACAAATACATGAATATATATATATATATATAAGTAGATACCTAGGCATCATGCCATCGGGATGAATTCCATGTTCGAGACAATAGAGCTCCCAACACGAATTCCCGACCTGAATACCAGCTTGCCCTATGTGAATGCTTATGATCTCTCTCATCTCTTTGTTTCTCTCTCTAGATCGATCTGCACAACAGCGATTTTACTCAAAACAACAACCCTACCAGGCTACCACTCCTCAACTCTCTCTCTCTCTCTAGATTTTCTCTCTCTAGCTGTTTCGATCCGGAGAAAAGCTTATATCTCTCTCTTTGGGACGAATTATATAGTATAAAATTAGGACCGACGAATACAAAAACCACCCACTTTCTCCCTCTATATCTATAATATCTCTATACATGTATCTATGTATAGACAGTGTGTACTGTGTAGCTTTTTTAAACCGTATTTGATAAATGTTTGGCGTCCGAGAAATGGCCTGCCATTTGGCTCCAGCCTTTCACTGGTCCCCACCAGAACAGCCGTTGTTGCTTTCGCCGGCCTACCTGTGCAATGACCATCCTGACCCTTATTTTGCAAACCGCGAACGGTTCGAATTTTGATCCCAATTTGACAAATTGTTAGACAAATAAATCTAATAATTTTTATTTTTATTTTATTTTTTTTTCATTCAGGTTTTATTTGTCTTTCAGGTTTTTTAATTATTATTTTTATTTCTTTTGACATTTTTAACAAAAAGAAATTTTTTTACATCTTCTATTAATTAAATTATCGAACCAGATATTCCATTAATAACAAATGATTCATTTTACTTATATGGAATTTGAATTGTATCTGGGAAAAGGATTCATTTACAAATTTATTTTTGGGAGGGAAAATTTGAAAGTGAATTAAGAAGTGAGGGTAGAAAGGGGAATTCGACCAGATGGGACAGCCATGACCATGTGCCGAGAACAAGTGTTACTTGTGAGAGTAGCGGTGGCTGTCACTGGATCTCACCAAATGCTTAGTTGTTTTTGTTGCTTCAATTAATATGTATATATGAATGTGTATATGTATTTTATTTTATTTATTTTATTTTGGGTGAAATAGCAAAGCTATTTTAAGATAATAAAAAAGAGATTTTGTTAGATTGCAAGCTATTGTGAGGTAAGGGAGATGAGTCTATAAATAAAAGTTAAAAATAAAAAATGCCCAACTGTGATTTGTTTGACCATTGAATTATAAGTCAGTCAAGAGTGCAATTTGGGGGGAATAATTTCAACCCAATCTATCCAATTGACAACTCTCTTTCTTTTCTCAATTAAAAGCAATAGTTGGGGTTTTACCCAATGAGATTATAGTGCGCCCAGCTAGGGATGGCAAGAGTTGTTTCGGGCGCGGATTTCATTTTTGTTTAATTTTCTTATTTTTATGATTCAGATTTTTCAAAGCAACCTTATCACCATTTACATAATCGATTTCTAAAATCGTCTCAAACGAAGCGAGCCTTGCAGGGTGAAAATTTTTGTCATCCTCACTTGCGGGTCTCTTTTTTCACAAGACTTAAGACATGGAACAAAATGAGGGATAAGGTTTCCTTCCGTGTGTATATATGCTTAACTTATTTTAGTAATATATCATAGTATATAAGAGTAATTTAATAAATTTATAGTATATTTGTGGCAGGACTGAAAGGGGCAACCCTCCCTCGAAACCGCCCCAATACTTGGTGAGTTTTTCAAAGTAGTCCCCATTCCTTTCTCAATTTACATTATTGGTTCCTTAAAATTGCCCCAGACGAGGCGGAGCAGGCTCCAGCCGCTATGGGAATTTTTGACATCTCTACACCCAGCTTCTCGAACAGTGTGTTCGAAAAACCTCTCCTTAATTTATCAGGAAAAAAAAAAAAAAAATTAAAGCAACCGTTATTCATACTACCCGTCTCTAATATGAGTGTAGGACTCGGACTATCAGCCTCTTTAGCTTTGAAGACGTTAGAAAATCTTTAGCGACGAACATATTGATACAATAGTAGTTTAATGTGTGGTGTTAGAAAATTTTTTATTTCTTTTTTTCTTATTTAAAACTTATACACTCATTTTGTCAATTTAAACCCTCAGACCTTGTACAATAACTGTAGACAACAAAACAATATGAAATTTATTGAGAGTTCCTGAAGATGTATAAATGATGTGAATGCAACATTGAAGATGAAGCACCTGATTATTGCTACTATATAAAATAAAATTGGCTAGGCTGTTAACTTCACCTAATTCTCTATCACATGCACAGTTGCAAACACAAACAAAATCAATGAAGCACATACAAATCCAAGCTCTGTGGGTGTGAGAGAGAGAGAGAGAGAAGATAAGGTTGCCAACTGCCAGGGCCTTCCACACATAGATATATATGTATTATGTATATATATTGTATGATTCTATTGCAGGGTGTTGGACCAGCAATGTCAGGTACAACAACTATGAAATGGACCTTAATAAGTTGGCCTTCACATGGCTACTTGGCTAGCTATATTCCTTCATGTTCATGCCTTCAGTATTTGTTGATTATTATAATTTTCTCCTTTCATCATTTTTTTTTTTTTTTTACTCATTTTATTCCCAATACCCATTACTCAAAAATGATATAAAAAAAACTGATAAGGTAGTGTATGAAATAGAGTGGGATTAACCCAAAATGTATTTGCTTTGAAATTCCTTTTGAGGAGTTTGGACTCCAATTTTGAATCTAAATTTGAAAATAAGTGAAGTGTGATTATGGATTTGATGTGTATGATTACTAAGATTAAAATATTGACCAAGATTTAGAGTTTCATGAATTCACTAATGAAAAATAGTAATTGAAATGGGTTGGGTATGGTATATAGGTGTAATGTATCAGGTGGGCGCTTGTCCATTTATTTAAAAGCTTAAACTGTTGGGTAATGATTGTGTACCTATCCCATTTATACACTTTTCAATTCTCATTCGGATTCGATGTGGGACAAGTCTCATTTGTGAAATTCTCCCTCACCCGAACTCGCGCAATGACCTTGTTGTGGTCGGGCCACTCTATTTACCCGAGAAGTATACCTGAACGTTTTCGGACTGGGCACTTGGTGTGACACCAGATCAAGTACTGGGTCTGACTCTGATACTAACTGTAACGGGTGGACGCTTACCCATTTACTCAAAAGTTTAAACTGTTAGATAGTGTTGCATATCTCCCCATTTATACCATTTTTCAATTCTCATCCAAATCCGACGTGGAACAAATCTAACTTGTAGCATCTAACCATTTGGCATTACCTTAACAACCCATTATTAAGAGAGAAAATAAAAAATAAAAATCCAAAGTTATTGCCTAATTGATTTCTGTAATATATAATGGTGAAAGAAGCAGACTAGATATTTTATGCTGAAGTTTTATATTTTAGATATACACCCAAATTTAGATAGTTAAGAGATTTCATATATAATAAATAGTAGACCGTGCTTCTCTGAAACAATGTTTTTGAAGGCTGTGTATAATAATCAAATACATTTTTCCCCTTTGAATTGATTTAGGCTTTGTTTCGAACTAATTATTTTTGGATTTGAAATAAAGATAATATTATACTATTTTTGCCCTTGTTTAAATGATAAATGAAACATTTATTTTATTATAAAATATATTTCAAAGTTACATCAAATAGACAAACAACGTGAATGACTACGTGATAGAACTAAAACATTAATTAAAAAAAACCAACTTATTCAACTACCATCACCAACATATTTTAAAAAAATAATACTAAAATGTAAACTTAAATCTAAGCATTGATTTAATTAATATTTTAAATAGGTTCATTTATTAATTTTTTTTAAAAAAACTAACTTATTCATCTACCGTCACTTGAAAAAAAAAAAAAAAAAAAATCTACCATCACCAACATATTAAAAAAAAAAAAAAAAAAGAATACTAAAATGTAAACTTAAATCTAAGTAAAATAAATTTATTTATTAAATACTAAAAGGATATTGTCCGTTTTGGACCTGAGTCTGTACGGTTTTACTAAGGCCTCGTATTAATAGAAAATTATATTATCACATATAAGCACTTTATATTTTCGTTACCCAAATGATGTGGGATTGTGCACCCATAACTAGCCTGCTAGTGCCTCACATCGGCCCACAATACATTTGTCTATAAGGTCGTCACAATCACCTTTTTTAGGGCTCAACGTCCTCGTTGGCTACACTTATGACTGGATGGAGTTTTGATACCTGCTACATTACCAAGTACAACATTCTAGAATAAAACGAGTCTCCTTGTTGCATTTACTTTGAACGTATTGGTAGGGCTTGCTTACCGAAGTAGTAGTTGGGCATTCATCACAGCAAAAGTGAGCTCTTTTTATGCTTTGTTCGGAAGCAAGCGTGTTTCCAAATTCAAATCCCATCAAATTCATTATTCTATCCATTATTCAAAACACAGGGGTCTTATCATATCAATATAAAAGAAAATTTTCATTGGTGAAAATTTAAAAAGTGAAGCATAAGAGTTTCAATAAATTCATGAGAAATTGTCATGTGGTTTGAGACACGTGTCCAGTCATAAGAAAAGTGAATTCAAATAATTAAATGAGCTATTATACAGAAATTTTTTTCAACACCAATATTAAAAAGAAAGTGATTCTATAGAAAAAGAAAGTGATCCTATTTATAGAAACTATGTAATGTGTATTAAGAGCTAAAAAAAGGTTTAATATTGTGCAATATTTTAAAGAATTTCAAAGGGTCCTACACATCCACCAACTATTGATATGGCATCATTAGTAATTGAGAGAATCCAATCTAATAATTGGTGGGTGTGCAGGATCTCTCATTTCCTAAAAAGAATCATTGTCTAATAAATATTTCCAATGCGAAAGACAGACTTACCATCCATTGTGACATTTCCAAATTCTGCGAAAATTCACTGCCAGAGCAGAGAAATTTTACGAAAACTCTGCATTTCACAGAGTCAAAATCAAATTCATCAAACCATGGCAATAGAAGTTGTGCCAATCCCACAGAAGAAAGAGATCCATCAAACCCTGTGATAAGAAAAGGCACCAAACAAAAAAAAAAAAAACTTGGATTTTACAATTTTTAGAAGTATTTATAATGTACAACTGATGAAACATAACAAACTCTAGTGAGAAAACTAAAGCTGTGCTCAAAAAGATGTATGTGCCTGCCTATGTAGGTTTCAAATGTTGTCTGATCATGTAATAACGCAACCAATATGGCAGAGTAATAAGCAAAACACTTCCAAGTAACTCATCAACAATGGATGTTTTCACGAGTCTTTAGCACTGTAAAAAATAACACAATTAGACTCAGAAAGTTGAAGGATATCAATTAATTAACAAAACAAATCCCTAAATGTTATCATTT